ACTATAATCTTCAAATATTCAAGTGTAATGTCAATCAACATTTGACATCCTGAGCTTGTTCTTTATTCTTCTCTGTATCCTTTCCTCAAACACCATGCCTCTTTTATCTTGTTCTCAATCCTCTAACCCCTTGTGTGCTAGTGGCACTGTTGCCTGTGCTTGGGGTGAATCACTTTAAAAAAAAGAAAAATTGTATGTGTTCTTATACATAATAACATTACCACCTCCCTTGTCTGAGGAGGTAATATGGATGTGCTTATTTTTTTGTTAGATTCCTTTGTGCATTTATGTGTCTTTGTAGTAAAGTTATTTTGTTATTGGTTTCTAGAATGGCAGTAATTATTCCTTAAATGAAGCCTTTGGTGAATCTGGTCTCATTGTGTCTATGAATTTTAACTATTGTTTCAACAAGATAGGGAGGCATCGTGGACTAATGAATTGTGGCTCGGAAGGAAGAGTCTGAGATCAGAGTTTGAATTCCAGTTGCATTCATTACATTCCCAAGGTTATTAGAATGTAAGTGAAAGGTATGCATCCATCTCTTCACAGCTATGGGTAAATAGCAGGGGTCCTATAGCCTTGGGTTGCAACCAGTCTAGGAGAAAGAAAACTCTGAATTCGAAACCAGCCTGGAGATGGTTGGGCTGAGTCAGGTTTTCTTGGCCCAGGTGCATCACTTCTCTTGTGGCTGTAATAAATGTAGTGCCTGTGTGACTGATGAGTTACAGGACCTGTGATTGATCAAATCAAAGCTGAAGGCTTCAAGTTTCATATTGGAAAGTTTTTATATTCAACAGAATTTTTCAAAGGCTTCATATCTTGTTGATTCTATTTGGGGTGAAAAAAAAAAAAAAAAATATATATATATATATATATATACACACATACTTAGTATGACAAGGCCTAATGAGGGACAAACGTAAGTTGAAAGTTTATGTTGGGCTAGTCTTTCAAGTGGGGAATCCCTGGTGATAAAGATTCTTGTCTCATTCAGCAAGCAGGTAACAAATAAGAATGCAACAATAAAAGCAAAAAAAAAAGAGATAGCCTCATTAATAAAAGAATGGAACTTGTAAATAAACTTATTTGTCAACATGTACTTTGTAGAATGAAAAGATTTGGCATCATTTATTAATTTTTTTTTTTTTGCTAAGTAAGGGTTAACAACAGAAAATGAAGCTGATGTAATTATTGAATCTCATAGTAATACAACTTACATATAGAATTTACTTAATATTATTACAATAATATTTTATGTCAGTAGATAGTGCATGTGGAAAAATAAATGCTAAGCTTTCATTGAAACTGTCATGACTCTTTAGACATGGAGAAAGCTGGTTGAACTGACAAGTTGCTCTTACTGACTGAGCTACAAGAACCTAGCTATTAAAATATTAAATTGTTTATAAATACAAGAAAAGGTATGGTGTTGAGATATTGAAGAATAAGAGCTGGGTTTAAATGTTATAGACATCATTCTTTAGCCTCTATCAGTGCCATAGTTTTTCTGGTATTCACTTGAATAATTTGAACAGCAGAAGGAATTTACTTGAATCCAGTTTTAAATCAAATAATGGAATGATTAGTCAGAAAATAATCTATGGTTTGAATATGTATAATTATATGAGAAAAAATATATATACTCTTATTTTTATGTTGTTTTGTAAAACTTTGGTATCCCACTCTGTTACTTGTTTTAATTAAGATGATCACTCAGCAAATTTAAAATTTCCCAAACTCTAAGAGATATATTTCTAAAATTGAAAGTGCATTAATTTCAATATTAAACATTTTTCATTTGCAATATGATGGTGGGTAAAAAAAAAAAAAAATATGACGACCCAGAAAATTGAATGGGCTTTTACAATTGTCATTAACACTGTTTATCTTATAACAAGTTTTGATTTATGAAAAAAATGGCCAGGCAGCACATATAGAAAAAGATAGATAAAAAAAAAAAAAAAAAAAAAAAGAATGGCTGCTAAATGACCAGGAAGCAACAAAAAACTTCTTTTTTTTTTTATTATTATGACGGAAAGACAAAGAAATATTTAATTTATTTTTTAATGAAATAAAACTGACGGATAAAAAGGGGGGTAACTTTGGCATGAGAAACAAATTTGCAAAAACTTGTTTTCGTAAACATTCAGCAAGCAGTTAACAGTGCCAATTTTTCAGCATAAAGGAATTCACTGCCATGCATCTGCTTTGTACTCATTTTCATGCCATAGCCTGCTATATGCAACAAAAGAAAAAAAAATGGGTTATTAGTTGGAAGGTTCAATATCTATCATATCACCACAATGTCCTCTTGTGACACCATAAGTCCTCATAATAAAATAGAAGGCATAATTAATCTCAGATATGAACAAACACACACACATATATATATATATATATATATATAAAATCTCAATATCTGTAGATGAATAATTTTGATTTTTCATGCCACTGATTAAGTAGGGTCCTCACTGGGACCTTGTATTAGCCTAGTGTTTTTGCATCCCTAATGATTGTGTTTCAGTACCATAAATAGGTGTCATCTGAAGGAGATGATATATATCTCCATCCTTGTTTTATGAATAAAATATGATCCCTTTTGTAAAGATCATTTTATTAGTGCATACATAATATGCAATAGTATGGTAAAACATTCTTCAGTTTAACAATAGTAATTGAAAATTGATTTTTTGTATAGTTATTGATGTACACATTAGCCACATTAATCAAGGGATTGCTGTATCAAAAACAATTTTAGGAAGTTTCATACTTTAGGACTTAGACTAAAGTGGTGTTTACACTGATGCGGCTACATATATGTATAAAGGAGAGGAGATACTGAAATTTAAAAATTTTATTTTATTTTTTAAGTATGTCTTGAGGATATAGTGTAAATGATTTAATTTAGTTTCTTTTTATTCATTTTTGTCACTTTTGTTATTGAATATCCCACATTGTGATAATAGAAGATCTGCCAAGAAAGGTAAAATGTAATAGAATAGCATTATTTTTATATGAAAATTATGTTTAGGCTTGTTATACTGAGCAACTAATGCATTTAATGTGTTTTGTACAACATCCCTTTTGTGTTCATATAATCTTATCTAAATACCTTGAGGTATCTCCAATGTATTCAATGTGGTAGTTATTAAAGGTGATAGAGTGAATTCCTACAGTAACTTTTGGCTTATTTTTGTCATTTTAAGTTTTTTTTATTGTTTTAGAAGTGGTTGTAAGAAATTTTATGTTAAACTTAGATAAATTCTTTTCAATTGTAGCTGTGATGGAGTTGGTGGGTTGAATAATGTATTTTGATTTGTAAGAAATGTGAAGTATTTTATATGAAATAATTTTAGTGTATTGGAGGACTTTAAAAATATTTTTAATATATATATTGAAGGCTGCACATTCTGAATGCTCTTAAATAGAATTTGATGATTATTCTAGATTTTATTATGTTATGGTGGAAATAAAACTTTGAGATCATTTTTATTACATTGTAACATGATATGTTGAAAGGGGAAGTGTTATCCATTTCAGTTTTAGAAGTGAATTCTATCATATGTTTGCCTTTGTTTAGTTTATTATATTTTAGTAGAGGTCAAGTAAATTAGTTTTGTGGGGATATATTGTTAGAGGCGACACTGTTGGTAATTCAAATTATTGTTTATAAAAATTATTGTTGAAGATGAAATAGCATTGATTGGTGAGGAGATGGTAGATTTTTTAAATGATTTTTGTAGCTATTGGTAGTGAAAGGGTTATTTCTCATTGGGTTAGCTGTTTTTTTTTTCTTTAAACTGGAACATTAATGTAAAGGGATTCAACATAGAAAATCATCATGAGTTTCACAGTCATATTTATTCCTCTTGGTCACCTGAACTGGGCTGACTGTTTTTAGAAGAGGGTGATATAATGGGGCACATTGGGATGTCAGCTTTGTGGGTTTTAGGGAGATCATAAAGTTTGGATATTCTAGGGTGATATTCTATTAATGTATATCAAGATTTGTTTTCAGTATTAATTAATTTTTTAATTGCTGTATGAAATTTCTGTTTCTGTAATTATTTTGTGTTAATCAATTTTATTCATATGTGAATGTATCATTGAGTAGTAAATTAATTTTATCATTGTATATATTCCTATTCATGATAACAATACCACGTTTAAAAAAATGTTTAAATTTAAAATTTCAGCATCCCATTTCTTAGTGTGCATATGTAGTCACATCAATGCAAACATCACTTCAGTCTGGGTTAAAGGAAGGAATGTGCAAAACGAAAACATTTTCGTCAGATATATATATATATATATATATATATATATATGGTGGATGGAAAACTCAAAAAAGGCATAATAATTATATTTATTATATGTTATGCTGATAGAGAAAATATAAGCATTATGGAGGTGGGTTTGTTGAAACCTCAGAATTTTCTAACACATGTGTCATTTCTCAATGAAATGAAAAAGGGCACCTGCATGTCTGAAGTTTCTATTTTATCTATTGGCCTAATTATATATATATCATAGCTAGAACATTTGAGCTGGCTAGATGTAACTGTAAATTCTATGCTAACAATTTTTCTCACATGAGGAATTCCTTTCTGGCTCCATACTTTCCAGCCAAGTTTAATCTTCAAAAATTTAAATGCAATGTCTATCGCTATCAACCGTTTTTTGTCATTATTAATGTTTCTGTTTATAATTCTTCCACACCTCCTGTGACTTAGTAGCTTTACTGCCTTGCATGGAGTGAAACTAAATTAAGATATATATGAAACTTAGACATATTGTAAATTACAACTGGTTCTATACAAGTAGAGCCGTAGTAAGATTAATCATGGGAAGAGAAGGAAGATAGTGTATTGGTTAATGAGGTTTCATTAAGCCAATAAATGTTTTACCAGTTTCATTTTAGATAAAAAAAAAAGAGAGATCTTGGCATGTTTGCCACCATTTTCTTTAATTTGTCTGCACATTTTTGTAACTTTTACAAATTAATTCCTAGATTTGGCTTGTTCATTCTCTCGGCACTTTTGAATATTATTTTCAATAAAGTCAAGAACCCGGATGATGTCACCACGTTTCTCCTCAACGAGAACTGTCAACCAGCCACCCTCATTGGTGAAACCCATGCTCATTAGGTTATCCAAGGCCTCGGCATATCGACGAACTGCAAACAAACAAAGAAAAAAAATATATATATTAAACAAATTGATGACAGTTATCGCATTGTGCTACAGATTCAATTAGAAATTTATATATTCAAAGATTCATATGAAACGAACCATTTGCATGAGATGAATAATTTTTTCTATTTACACAGTCTATATCAGATTAGACTGAAAATGAAGTATGTAAATTAATCTAATTATTATTTACACACACACTTGTGTGTGATGTATATATAGTAAAATTTTAGAAAATAAAGCATAATTTTTTTCTAAAAAAACAAAAAAAAAAAACACAAACAACATTACAACCAAAAACGTTTGCAGCACCTCTCTTCTCTTTAATATACATGCTTTTCTCTCGCTGGAACCACTACAACCTCTTTCTTATTTTATTATATATATATATATATATATATATATATATAATCCAAAATTAATTCAGATTGGGAAGAGCCTATATAATCAGATGAAGATGTTGGTCATTTGTCTCACCAATTGTCCTCATCTTTTTCATCATATTTATTACAATGCTTCGGCCTTCTTCAGGTGGTTGGAATGTTGCTCACTAGGGTAGACTGTTCTAGTTTCACATGCCATGTCTAATGGATGTAAGTTATTAGTTATCTCCTGTTAATTCCCCTCTCCAAGTTGTCCACTCACACTTTTTGGATCTTTCACTGGATTTAACTAACACCTTTATCAATGTTGCCATGTGTCCTTGAGGACATCTGTGTATGAATTTCTGGGTATTATAAACCTAATGTCTTCAACAACCATATTTTTGCTGTTATTTTTGTTATAAGTGTCATCCCCGAGTACATGGCAGCACCCTCAAAAATCTTGGTTAACTGATGTCCACTAGACATGGCACGTGGAACTAGAACAGTTGACCACAGTGAGCGAAATAAAGGTTTTAGTGCTACATTCAAACAACCTGAAGAAGGCCGAAAAGTTGTAATAAATATGGCGACAAAATGAGGACAATAGTCCAAATAATGTACATAATATTTCATCTCAGAAATAACAGAGACAGGTATACACACACACGCAAATATAAATTTTATTGACTGGAAATGTAAACGGTGTTTATATATCAAAGTACAATTTGGGTTAAGATGTGTGTTTACCAATGAGAAACACGATCGCAAACCTGGGTCACTAGTAAACAATGGGGATGGGCGAGATACTTGGTTTTGTTTAACAGTATTTGTTTTGATTAAAAGGTTGAATCAATGTTTAGATATCCCAAAGTATAATTTTGGTGAAGCGAGAAGAACTCGTGATTGAGATAAGGTAAATAATTGGAGAATCGGTTTACATGTCAAGGGATAGTTTTTGGCACTCGTGGTAGTTGCGTGCCGGGCCGAGGGTCAATTGTGATCAGCTGATACTTTTTCTATATTAACTCGAGATTTTGCTAATAAAGCAGAGTCGGGGAAAGTGACTGTAGTCGAGAGAGTGACGAGACTATCGTCGCAGCGAGTCGAGAGATTTGTGGGAGAATTAAGGAGGCGAGAGAGAAGACCAATCCCTGTTCCGAGAAGTCTGTACGAGACGGAACTATTAGTCATAAACCTACCCCAAGCGATTCAATACGCGTTTATCACACACAAACACTCTCTCTGTTGGGAATTCGCGGGGTGCATTTTGTCTTTCTTTTCTCATTTATGTTAAATGTTTTTATTCTCCATGTAACCTCTGTTCTGATGTTATCTTATATAAAAGACATTAATATTTCCCCCATTATTGTCTGGCTTGTGCAGATATTATTTCTTATTTTATTTTGCCACATTCTAAAATTTCCTATCGTTAACTCTCACAGCCGTGTCCACATCCCTAGTCGAACGTGAACGTATAAACAACACACCGCTTACTGGATGTGAAAACTAACACAGCGTGGGCAGCGAGCAGAACTTGACAAGTTGACCGGTCGAAATAATCAACGGGTACTCAGGGAGCGTACGGCCAGTTACACCTAAGTTCGGTTTGGACCTAGTGGACACCTCAACCCAAAGAGTAAGACGCCGGAGATTGAGGGGCAGGGGACGAATTGGTAGATATGTGTGCTTAGATATATTACCATTTTCTTGTATTTTTGTCAGCATATTTTTTTTGTACATATATCTGACATTTATATATTGGGTGCATGTTCTTTTTCAAATAAGAAATCTCATTTTTTCCTATAAAACTTTAAATGGAATTTTTTTTTTAGTATGTTATGCATCCGAGAAAAACCAACTGTACTTTGTACCTTTTTCCGGCTTGCACTTCTCAGTAAAATTTAGTTTTTAATCACTGAATGTTGTTTGTTTTAGTAGTTGCCACATAGTTACGGACTAACAGAATTCAATATTTACGCATTCGATGTTATCAGTACATAATCTTTTTCGTTTTAGGCTTTTTTTTTTCGTAGCTTTTGTATAGCATGAAAGAAAATCTTTTAAGAAACATTATGTTTTTTTTTATTTTGTTTTAAAGTTTTTTTCTAACATTGATCACACAGCAATATATATTTTGAATGAGCTAACAAGACTTTCTTTACATAGGAATATGGGGTAGGGATGAATCCTGTGGCCTGGAGTAAAGATGTTTAACTGTCAGCATTCACCCAAAGTCAACATATCTGTCGGCGGGACAGGGAAATTTGTTTCCGCAAATGTTTTAGAGTAATATTAAAGAGGCATGTTTCATTCAAATTTCATTTTTCAAAGTTTCATCTTTGTAACAAGAACGATAAAAACAAAAAATTCTATTCTGAAGAGAAAAACTCAAAATCTCATCTTACTTTTTGGATAATATAAGTTGTTATCCACTTTCGGTTTGGGTTCACCCGGTCCCTCTGTTTTGGTCGCTTCTTTGTCGTCTTTTGAATCATTTGTCGTGCTCGAGACGGTTTCTGTGCCGGGGTCTGCACTTCCATTCTCTGAAGACATTGTTGTTCTCGTCGTCGTCGTGTCCAGTTTCGTGTCAATATCCTCCACTGTGTTGTCTATCGCAGCTGAAATGGATTTTTCTTGCTCATCTTCTTTAGGTTCGGACGATACAGAATTCATTTCCGATGAATTTGCCATGTTTGCTGAAGAAGCTTCTTTCTCAGAGGATATTTCCGTCACCTGAAAATATATTTACTTATGTCGAAACAAAAAGATAATATGTTACATAGAAACAAACTGTCGACACTGAAGTTGAATACAGATCACCAGTGAAGAAACACGGGTGATTCCATTTTTAATAAGTAGGCCACGTGATCGCAAATGAAATGCATATATGGGAATTAGCGTGCCATCTAATTTATCACCATTTCTATTCTATCCTCTATTGCCATTCGGACCACTCTTTCTACTCCATTACTTATACTGATCACTATTTGGTGGTTACTTTTCGAGCGAATATTTCCGAGCAAGTACTATTAGTGCGTCTGGTATTTGAAGGCGTCTGACTCCAGTATTGTTCAACGGCGTTCCTATAGCTGTAACAGCAATTACAAAGTCTCTGCTATAGTGATTTTCCAAGCGTAGCTTAGATATAGCACAAGGCCGAGAGTATGGAGCACCCAGTGAGGATAGAACTCACTACTTAGTCGTAATTGTTTTAGGGAGAAAAGCTGACTAACCATTACAACGAGCATTACGAAAGTGACAACGAATATTCGTTGACATTACAAATGTGACAGCCAGTGTTCGGTGGCATCGCAAAATAATATAAATTAAGGGAATGATAAGAGAGCGACAGTTGAAATATTTAGGACACAATGAGGAAAGAGGGCTTGGAAAATTTGACACTCTGAAGGGGAAAGGGATAGAGAAAAAGAGCGAATAAGCTACCTAACCAACTTATGTAAACGGAAGACAGAACAGGGATTGGAAGAGATAGCTGAAACAAAACTTATTAAGGATATGAAGTTGTGGAGAGAAATAATCGCCCACGTTCCCCAAGAGGCTGGATACATAGAAAAAGAATTGTTGAATCACAATACTAGTAAAAAAATTAAAAATGTTTGTCAATCTTCATCTAATAGGAAGAAATCAAAATTAATGTAAATATTGATAAAACTACGTAAACCCGTTAAAATTTTACGGTTTTTCTCACCAGCGGCAAAGAGGCTACGCAGAGGCCCAAAACAACGCTTCAGGGATCAGTTGAAGACATCCCGGACACAGGCCAAAATTGGCCTTGAGACCTGACAAACCGTAGCTGCAAATCGGACCTCCTGGCGTAAAATCACGCAAGGAGGGTAGGGGAATGAAACTTTCGAGTCTAATCGTCAACATGAAGAGAATCTGCGACGTGCTCTCAGGAGGCCCAGCCGTGTGCTCCACCCACAATCATCTGTAACTCTTGATCATGACTCTTCAGTAGTAGGCTGGGCCTTCACAGTCATCTCCGCAATCAAAGAGGAGAAAAGGAATAAGGAGAGAGGATGACGATCCCGATGATCGGATATAGGCGGATGCTGTTGTCTTTGAGGTAAAGTGGCTACAAAAATCCCAATCTCCGCAAAGCTCAATAAAGCAAAATGCAATAAAATGAGCTATGATTATGTTTCTATCGTACACAAAAATCATTACTCACAGTTTCAAATAATGTCTCATGGATAAACTTAAATGCTGAAGCCGTAAATTCTCATGATACAAAAAGTCCAAACGTGAATACATACCTTTGTGAATTCTGTTTGTGTCTTGGAACCACTGGATTCAATACTGGTAACTGTACTAGTAACTTCGTTGGTGTCTTTGGACTTGGAAGAGGAATTCAGAATTGTCCAGTCTCCTGATATTTTGTCCTGCGGGGACTTATATAAAACAATAAAAAAGATAAAACTAATTTAGGATAAAATTGTAATATCAAGTGCTTTCATTATTTTATATATTCCATTGTTATCTTCATCTTTGTTGTTTTTAACACAACAATCGGCTGATATAATTTTGAGGCTTGATACTGTTTGAATTTTTGAAAAGTATTTTCATATTATTCCAACATCCACCTTTATGCCGTGTCGTCGTCATCGTCATCGTCATAGTGTTTCGGTCTTTCTAGCATATCTGTTTGGAAAGCGTCTGACTTTCTAATATTAACGAAAAATAACCTATATAGGGTAATGGTCCATTAGCCCTCTTCAAAGTACTCCCACCACTGGGGCCACACATTTATCGCATTTATTCCTTCTGCTTTTTAAAACTGCAAAGTCTTCTTTTGGCATCGCCATCAGCTGCCACGATGCGTTCTCCTTAATCTCGTCAACCCCTCAACGGTGATTTTACAGTTTGAGAAAGCTGGAAGTAACAAGGAACTAAATATGGTTTGGGGACGGTTAACAGACTTGGGCGATGTAATATTTTGCTAAAAGGTATGCATGAAGCATCCACACAATATCAGTCAAATGTTTCTGACTACTGATTGATTGAATAGTGTCTGTTCGCACATGCAGTGTAAATTTCCCTTCTGATTGGTTACTAAGTTATATCAAGCCCATAGAACCGATTCTCAAGATAAATGACTGGTTACCTTCTGGACAGACCGTGTATGTTGCATTAGCTTTGAAAAAACACTGATACAACATATCTTACATAGCTATAAGTCTACCATTCATCTATGCTTAGAATATTGCTGCCACATATGGTCCAGTGCCACTGCTATTTATCTTGATTTCCTTGATAAAATCTAAAGAAGAATCAGCAATATCATATGTCCTGATCTGGCGGCTCGGCTTTAGTCATTTTCCCACTGCTGTATGGTTGCTTCTCTGTGTCTTTTCTATGAATACTTTCATGTTAATTGTTCGGATGAACTCTTCGCTATGGTACTTACACTTTTTAAAAAAATTTAAGCGCAATACTAGACTGTTGTCGAGATCTCATCAATTGACAGATGACCTGGCTAGATGTAGCCGTAAGTTCTATGCTAACAGTTTCTTTTCTCGCACTTCTCGCTTGTGGGACTCCCTTTCGGCTCCATGCTTTCCCGCCAACTTTAATCTGCAAAAATTTAAATGCAATGTCAATCGCTATATAGTGTCCCCCGATTACTCTTCTTTTGTTCCCGACCCTTAGTAATGTTTTTGTTTTCTTTCACACCCTTGTGTCTAAGTACCGTCTTTCATGAAGTGACACCAATTTATATATATATATATATATATATATAGTGTAACCCGGATATAAGAGAGTTGTCGGGACCGGAGAAGAAGTCTCTTATATCCGGGTTGGGTCTATTTTGTTTAGGTAAGTATGGCTCTAATTTGGGACCAGAGAAAATCTCTCTTATATCCGGGTTACAATATATATATATATATATATATATATATATATATATATGTGTTGCTCGAATTTTCTGTTCTTTTATGCTTCGTATTTTATCTTTCTGCTCTTTCATATGGTTGGATTGTTATGTTGCATCAGAAAACGTAACATGAAATTTGTTGATAGCTAAATACAGGTTGGGGATAAAGTTCGGATGGTAATGGATTTTGATTGGCTAAAAGCAAACAGGATAATCAAGGGGTCTTATTCTTTGATTGGCTATTTGACCAATGGCGAAAGTAGAGCCTTAGTGGAATAGGAATATAAATTAGGTCTGGCAGAACACAGAAAATCTATTTAGGCCCACCAGCTCAGAGGTTGCAAGATATAGTGATTTTCCAAGTGTAGCTTAGATCTGGTACAAGGCCGAAAGTACGGGACAACCAGTGAGCATCGAACTCACTAGTCGTAATTGTTCTAGCGAGAAAAGCTTGCTAACCATTACACCGCCTCCAGGTGCCCAAAGGTTGCAAGATATATAGTGTGTGACCACAAAACCCGCCCACGGCCGAATTTGTCGCCGACGAGATTCCTTACTGATTGCATCCAAGTACGTTTCGCGTTTTGAAAAATAAGATGAGAAATATTTTTCTTTACAGTTTGTTTTCCTTGTGTTTTACATACCATTTTACGACACGTTTTTCGTTGATGTGTCTTCTTTTAGAGTTGTACCCTAACCTAAGAAGCTGTCGACTGCTGAAGTTACAAGACGTGTGTTCGATCCGCTGATTCCAAACAAGCACAGCTAATCCAACAACGAGTCTGGAAGTACTGACTTAAGAAGTGGAAAGAAAACAACTAATCTTTGTCTGGTGGAATTTCCAAGAAGTACTGCATTTCCAGATTGTTCCACACGTCATTAATGCTAAACTCTTTTGCTAGCAGCTAGAGCGCATGCACAACAAACTAAAGGGGTATCCTGCTTTGGTTCAAATAGATGAACGGTGTTGGGATCCTTCTACATCCACCATTTAGTCCCGATGCTGCTCCGGATGACTATGGCCTATATTCCGATCAGTGGCACACTTCTCCCGCCGGCAGCAATTCATCACTTCTGATAAAGTGAAGTAAGCTTTTTACAGTTTCTTGATTCAAAGCCAGCGGACTGGTATCTGGGAAAGATTCGGATGCTGGCTGAAGATTATCGAGAAGGATGAACTTTATTTTGAATAATAAATGTTGGTGTTGCTCCATACGATTTTGTTGTTTTATTTCCACTTCCTAAGAGAGTCGGGGCTTTCTGGCCAACCGTCGAGTAAAATAAAGATTACAATTTTCTCATATTAATGTAGCTGATTTAATCTAAACGATCGGTTGGTGTTATAGTGGAACACACCTATTCTATAGTTAATAGACTCTCCCACCTATAATAAGTAGTAGTAGTAAGAGTAACAAGGGGTCACTCAGTGGTTCGGTCAGTCAGTCGATGCCGGACGACAGTTAGTCGGATACTAAAGTATCAGCGACCACAACTAGATTTTTCTGCGTCATTACCTATTATATCCTAACGTATTGTACGTCGAACCTATTTTAGGGCCGACTTAGTACAAATACAAGCCTCCACTGGGAAACCACTCCATAACAGTTGGATAACAATTTATTTCCGGAAGCTAATACTGTGAGTCCATTCAGTCGATATTTGGAGGGCTGAACCGAGTTATATTTACAAGGTACCAAGTATGGAATGATCCTGCTATTAAAAGCTAACACAGTCAGTGCGGTGGAATTGAAATATGGTTTTTAAAACTGCATTTCAGGTTACTGCATTAGGTAAGGGAGATATCTTTTAAGCGAGTGACTGGGTTTGCTTCGCGCTAGTTGCTCTAGGAATCTAACCACTTATTTAATTCGGTTCTGTTTGATAAATGTGATATCTGTATAGAAATATAATCATCTTACCTCGTTATAACTGAACAGACTTTCTCTGTATGATGATTTGTCTACGGTACCAAGAGAATCCCGCTCAACCATTCTGCTTTGGCGCGATTGCAGTTCCTCAGAGTGATACGAGTGTTCCATGGCAGCAGCTTGGCCAACACCCGATCGGCTGGACATTGGGCTATCGCTGAACAGTGACCAATCATTTCGGGAATACGGCTGACCAATGCTTGATGCAAAAGCTGGCATGGAAGAAATAAAGAATGATTAAGTATTAATATGAATTTCCTTTACATCGGTGCTATTTCCTTTATTGATCATCAAATGACCAAATTTTTATTTTTATTATTGGTTCAAATTTTAACTGGCGAATTTGATCTGAAAATTCGCCGGATGGACATTGTTTTTCTGGAGAAATCTGATATTGGAGATCTGTAGCGGAAAATGCATTTCATATTTTAAAATGAACTTGAAGAAATCTTTATACAAACATTTTCAACTAAACGCTACAAGATAACTCGTTCAATATTCGATTAAGGCCTAAGAAAGAAATAACCCTATTACTTAGATTTACCGACAAAATAGAAATCTTACAGTGAATTACTGCATTGTGTGTACAAATAACAATCAAGAATCATGGCGGGGGGGGGCGTTGATCAGTCTTAAGCCTAGAGATCTGTTATTGTAAGCCTAGAGATATTCAACAACCTTTGAGATCTATTATTGTAATACATTTCATCAAATAGCATTTTCTTCATCAAACCAGCTCGGCTTCTTGTTGAATACAGGAAAAGAACGACAGGCTGAAAATGTGTCTTATCCTGAAGATGAAAAGATCAAATTATACTATCAAAAAAGCAATCCAGAATCCTGGGACGATCGGACCTAAGCCTAGAGATATTCAACAACCATTAAGATCTGTTACTGTAAACATAACGTACAAGCAATTCAATGTTCATATATCTGAAGAAACCAGAATATATATATATATATAAGGAATTGCAGAAAATTATGAAACACCGCGAAATTCCTTATAAGTAAGGTCTATACTGAAAACTTCTATTTTGTTTAATTTCAGGGCCTTTGTGTGGGAAAAGATCACGAATGAATCCGTTCTGTTTGGTGTAGAAAGATTCGTAATAAAAAAAGTAATTTACTTTGCTTATGGCCGTATCACATTGAAACACCGGTTCTCGTCTGATCACCGAAGTTAAAACAATGTCGAGCCTGGTCAGTTAGATGACCAATTGGGAATATCAGGTACTGTAAGATTGAGGATGTGCGGGTGATGTAGTGGATAGCGGAATGAGAAATCAGAGAGCAGAGTTCGAATTGGTTTCCTTAAATTCACTTCCGCGCAAATACCCTTGGGAAAATTATGAATCCACCTCTTATCTCTCCCCACTGGAGGTTAAACAGAAAGACTTGTATCGGGGAAAAAGAAATTATCTCCAGAAGAAATTCTTAATGAAATATTCTCTAGAAAAAAGGTTTCGGCTTTAAATAACCCACAAAGGGTTGATAAGCCATAAAAATCAATCATTGTTTAATTTCATTAAAAATAAATAGAACCTCATAATAAACTGATCATTATATAGGAATAAATGTGATATGACTTAGAATCTATTAGAAGTGATTTCCGTTTCTGGGATCCAATTGTAATGATGATTAACTGTTAATCAAAGACGTTAAGAATACATATGCATAATACCTCGATTAGTGCGACTAATGTGTACATTAAAATCGAAAACGCATTAATCGAATATCGAACTGATAGGAAATTAGGTAATTTGTATCTCAAATTTTAGTCTCATTCACAATTAATTTCTAATTTGTGTACTTTTAAATTAAAATATAGGTACATATAAGAAGATAAAAAATGCTATGAATTAATGTTCATTAATCTGATTTTTTATGAAAAACTTATTTAGAGTGGTTCTTCGGTTCTTCATATAATTGGCGGTAAATCGCCCCCTTCAAATTTTCAAAACATAGTATTTTAACCAGAAAATTTTATTTATAATCTTTCTATTGTAAATGCGCACATCTTTTATATTTTTTAATACACGTAAATTTCTGTATCTAATTAAATCGTTCCTTTTTTTTTTTTAAAAAAATCAGAAATTTGCTTTTAAAACCTTCAAAATAAACATGAAAAAAAAATAAAAAATATTCAAAAATTTTTCACAGAGACAAATATTCAAATACAGTGAAACCTCGGTTCACGAATTTAATTCCTAGAGGCCGTTCGTAACGCGAAACTATTTTTCCAATAGGAATCAATGTAGAGAAAAAAGTCACAGTACAATAAAATTGGAAAAGAAAAGCACAACACAACACATGAATTTATACAACATGGTGGTCGACTCAGAAATTATTCTGTTTAGGTTAACTCGGTTCGGCAATGTTGTTCGAGAACCGAAATTTTGTTCGATAGCCGAGACATTTTCATTTCGATTTGTTCGACTGAGAAGTTTGCACTTTTCTGTTCGAAAACCGAATATTTTTTTATTTATGTCTCTTTCCCAAAATGTTGACATTTGTGACGATTCTCAATTCTTCTTCTTCTTCTTATTAAATCTTTGATTTTCCATTTCTTTCCGGGTTTTCAACCTGAGATCAGAAATTTGATATTTTCTCATTAAAAAATCTACACAATTTCTGATTCAAAACCATTGTTTTTTGTTTGCAAACACTGTGGAAGACGTTCTGAAGGCCGTTCCGACGAAATGTTTTGAAACTATTTTCCATAACCGAGGAAAAAAAATTTTCATCTCACATGAATTTTCATGTTCGAAAAGAAATTTTGTTTAGGGTTAACTCGGAGACGTTCGAGAACCGAAATTTTGTTCGATAACCGAATTTTCATCTCGAATTTTCTGTTCGAAAACCGATTTGTTTGACATGTGAGACGTTCGAGAACCGAAATTTTGTTCCATAACCGAGGAATTTTCATCTCGAATTTTCTGTTCGAAAACCGATTTGTTTGACATGTGAGACGTTCGAGAACCGAAATTTTGTTCCATAACCGAGGAATTTTCATCTCGAATTTTCTGTTCGAAAACCGATTTGTTTGACATATGAGACGTTCGAGAACCGAAATTTTGTTCCATAACCGAGGAATTTTCATCTCGAATTTTCTGTTCGAAAACCGATTTGTTCGACATGTGAGACGTTCGAGAACCGAAATTTTGTTCCATAACCGAGGAATTTTCATCTCGAATTTTCTGTTCGAAAACCGATTTGTTTGACATGTGAGACGTTCGAGAACCGAAATTTTGTTCCATAACCGAGGAATTTTCATCTCGAATTTTCTGTTCGAAAACCGATTTGTTCGACATGTGAGACGTTCGAGAACCGAAATTTTGTTCCATAACCGAGGAATTTTCATCTCGAATTTTCTGTTCGAAAACCGATTTGTTTGACATGTGAGACGTTCGTGAACCGAGGTTGCACTGTATGCATTTTTATTATCGGCTTATATAAAATTTATTTATTTATAACCGTCAATTTTTGTAACACTACAATCATTAGATAACGTAATACTGGACAAATAAAATAGTTACCCATTTTAGAAAAAAATTCAATCAATTGGTAAATCTAGAAAAATCAATTTTCAGTTATTATGGTTAAACCGAAGAATGTTTTACCGCACTAATCGAGTATTAGTGCATGCACTAATTTTGGTATATTTTGGTATTTAAAACTTTAGCGCACGTATCGAAAACGCATTAATCACGGGATTCTTGTATATTTCTTACAAAATATGCTAAGCTTTATATATTTGGAATGATTGTATTCTTGTCTGAGTACAGACATGTGATGAATAACAAATCTCCGAGTCGACCTCTGATAAACATTGTGAAATTAAATTATTCCAGATATAAAACTTATTGCTCTATATAACTATTGGAGAAATTCTATTCGTCTTCAAATAGTCTGAATTATATAATTTTACATATATCAGTAGTTGACTATTATTAGTTTATTTTATAAACATATGTAGTGTTCACTACCATACATTAGTTTTCGCACGACAATTGTAGCATACACAGTGGATTAAAGAAATTTCTCAATCACATCAATGGAGAGATTGAAAGTGCATATACATCGCAATGTTATGAGAGTTCAAGCGAGAGAATAACGCTA